CAATTACTATTCCCCAGCCAACTGAATGCCCAAATAGTCTTTAATAAAAACAGCACCTCGTACAGAGCACAGCAGAGAAAGTATTTAGCGAATCCCTTACTGCCCAACTCATTTCACTTGGGGGACCTACATAATATTTATACAATTTTTTTCTAAAATAAATACTACCCATGGGTTGACTATAAAGGAATTATCTTGAATAACTCCCTTGTTATGAAGAATACTGATCCACAACAGGGAAGGCATATGCATTATTCCTTTTGTCCTCCCATTATCCCTGTCAAGAACAGGGGGACTGGTCATCATTATTCATTTAAAATAGACTCAGTTTAGGGCAACAATCAGGCAAGTTTCCTTTCCTGTCCCAGCTCCTACCCGCCTGTCCTCCCGGGTGTGCGGGAGTGCAGACAGGCAGAGGTCGCTGTCCTCGCTTGAGCATCAGCACAGGGACACCTGCTTGGTAAGCTCCACCCGGGACACGCAGACTCGGCACTAATGCTATTGTATTGGCTTCTTAAAATATAAATATAACCAAGAGGGTTTCTTTAAAGTGAAATATCAAATTGGATAATCTTAAATGGATTTACTAGATTGCTCAAATCAGCATTTCAAAAATTTTGAGCTTAATTTTGACCACTGAGTCCTCCTGCCAGAGAGCAGGCAGAGAGTAGCTCCTTATCAGGAGTGTCCTGGTAAAGCATCCATGTCTTCCTTCTCCATCCTTACATATTAATGTGTTGCCCTCTTTCTATCTATGCTGCAGAGGACTCAGGACATTCCCTCCTCAAAGTATTCAACGTACAGCTCTTCAGTTCAGAGAGATTTACTATGCTTGCTACAAATTCTTCTAAGGGCATTTTCCCCCCTGCACATTGTAATAACCATCTGCTCCCTCTTGCTTTTACTGTCTGCTCTGAGCTTGTGGATGGTGTCTCACCCCGACGTGCTGCCTTTTGCTCATTTGCAGCAGAACAGTCTCTGCAATCCTATTGTTTATTTAAAGCTGACTCTTTGCATGGGAGCAAGCGCTATTTTTTTTTTTTTTTTTTTTTGAGCATCAGCATGCTGTTTTGGAAAGAGCATGGAATTTGGAATTCAAAGACAGAAGTTCAAACCTCAGTTCTTTCTTACCGGACATATGACTTTGAACAATTCAATTCCTGTTTCTTAACTTCCCAAATCTCTTAAAAAGGAATATTATCCACCTTGTAGAATTTTGTGATGATTGAGTGAGATAATAAGTAATATTTCTAATACATATTCCATGCTTAATACTATATTTCATTGATTATAAAACACACCATCATGGGTTGATAATACTTTTTGGGAGCAGGATTTAACAACAGAAAAATATGTACCAGAAGATGCTGTGCATCCAAAGAAAGCTGGTGATTTGGAAAAGTGGACAAAAACAAGAACATGAGGCTAGAGAGTTCCAAAGAAAAACTTAACTTGGTTTTGCTTGGCCCAGCTGTAAAGCTTCAGATAGAAGATAGCCTGAGATGTATGATTCTTTTGAACCAGGTTTGGTTTCCTGTGATTCGTTGCTCTATTAACTAGGACTATTCGGACTACGTGTAGAAGAAAAAACCCAGGAGCTTTCAAGGAGAATTGGCAAATTCTATGGCTGATGCCCTGATCTAGGACACCTGTGTGGGTGGCCTCCTATCATCTCTGTTCTAGACATTGGGACAAAAGCTCTGTGCTGTCTCCCTTCTTCTTGTTGATGCGTAGGAGGGGTGAGATAAAGGCAGCTGAGATCTGGGTGTGGGCCTACAGGGAAGGGAACAGGTAGCCCCTTGTTCTGCTTTGTTTCAGGCCCTAGGTCTGCCTCTAACCTACACAAAGGAATTCCCTGGCGACCAAGGGACAGCAAGGGGGCTGCCCCCTGAATACAGGATTTAAGGACCCAGGAGCCTTCCTGAACTTTTTCTGTGCCTTTCCATTTGCAACCTGGTATACCTGCATGAAGGAAAAAGACAGAATGGAGTGAATCAAAAAGAGTCAAATTTGGAATTTCAATGGCTGAAAAGGACAGAAAGAAAATCTTTTAATTCAGAGGCATCTAAAAGATCTGAGATAGATATGTGCTGTCCCTTTGTTGAAGACACTCTGCCCCTGCTTTCTCTCCTAGCTCCTCCTTCTCCATCACTTTAGCAATGTGTTCCTTTATTCTAATTCCTTTTAAACATCCAAGGAAGTTTCAGATTGTCTAAGAGATTCTAGACATAACTTCTTTTCCAACCTTGGTAGAAAAATCATCCCAGGAGTTTGCTGAGAAAACATTTGGGTCCACCAGACTATTTATATCCATCAAAAATGCATCAGACTGTTGCCACATCCATCAAACCATTTACCATGAAGTTGCCTGTGGCTTCCCTCATCAGGGACTTCCGCAAAGAAAAGATAAGAGGGCTGAGCATCAGGGCCAAGGACTGCACAGTCTCAACTCAAGATGGCAGTTCTCAAAGAAGTAGCAGCTTCTTCCTTCATGGGCAAAGGCATCTAATGGTTGTTGGGGCTGCAGTCAGAAGGGATGCAAAAAGACCAGAATACATATGCTTAGGCCTGAGCAAAGGGTTTCACATTTAAAGGCCAGCATGTCACAGAGTGAGGTCTCTGCTTTTGTAATGCCAAGCTCCACTAACTATGTCCTGAAGTCAGGGGAATCCCAAGGGGCATGTGATTCTTTGGACAGAAATGAAATTATTTCTCTACCTTTTGCTCTAAGCTCTGAACGCTCCCAGCTTGCTCATCAAACGGCTGCATTTTGTGCTTGCTGACGCGGAAGAGTAGCACTTCCCTGTAGCTTACCACCAGACGGTAATTGGATTCTAATAATAGAACAAAACACAGAGAATTCCCACTGCTTGGCTGGGTTTTAACTGATGTGACAGCAGAGAGCCAGCCCCTCCACTGTGTGCCCGCGTGGGGAATGAGCTGTGAAGACGTGGACCCGTTACGCTCTCTTAGATACACTGGGTCAAGGGAGGAGTCACACAGTCACTGGTTGGGGTGGCCCCGGGCGCTCTGGTTTTCTCTTTCTGGGTTGACTCTAGGTGATTGTCTGCTCCCTGTATCTTCAGAAGTCCTCAAGGGAGTTTGGGCTTCTACATGTGAGGTTAACTCCTCTCCCTTCTCTGCAGTCCTCAGTGGGTGATAGTCTTCTGGAACCAGTGTTTCAGCCTCAGGAAGGAGCCAATTTCTCTCTTTGCCACCACCCTGAGACTGAATCCCAAGCATGTGGTGACTCCCAGGAAGGTCCCCAGCATAAAATGTAAAATACCTTTGATGGAGTTGGTTTTCCTTAGGGTCTTCATTTCAACTTCCGGAAAAATGGGAATTGCATTAATTTAGGTATGGGAACATACAACGTGCAGCACATCTCAATTTACCTATGCTACCTAGAGGACATTTTCTCAGGGAAGCTGCTCCACCTGAGATAGTCACAGGAAACTTGAACTCCCTGAAAAAATAGGGCCGGTGGATCAACGTAACCTGTTTTCCAGAGATCCTTTCTAAAAATATGCCCATGATGGCTAGCCGCTAGATCAGGGCCCACCAACTAAAGAATTTGGACTACAAAGCCACATAAGATAATCACTGATTTCCTAATTAATCTAACACTATTAAGCACCAATATTTGCTCACAGTGCTGTAGGAGCCAAAAACATAAAAAAAAGGAAAAGAAGATCAGGGCATGACATATGACATCACTAACCTAAAAGTGTCTACAACCTAGATTGTAGACTGAGCCTCAGGAATCACCCAGACCAGCCTCCTCTTTCCGCAGATGAGGAAAATAAGGTTCAGATAGGTAAAGTGACTGCTTCAAAGCCAGGAAATTAAGTTGTAAAAGAGCCAGGATTGGCATTCAACATACAGCTCATATCCATAATTATATTTACAACACAGATCTAAACTATGTGTGCATGTTGGAAGAAGGTGGGAAAGGAAGGGACACGTGGGTGGGGGCGACGTCAGAACTCAAATGTCTTGATCTCTGATCTCTGTGCTTAGCCCTGTGAGGGACTGTGAATGACCCAGCAGACGGTTTGGAGAACCTGAATGTGGACACTCGCAGAGGAGAGTGAACCCTACGTGTGTGGCCTCTACAACCTCTCTCCTGTGGAAGTTCAGAGACAACCCATTGAGCTGAGCAATGAGGGAAGTCTTCCTGGAGGCGAGAACGTTTGAACTAAACTTTGAAGGATGCTGCAGTTCAGATGAAAGGCAAGAGTGGGACCAGCAGGCCTGGCCAGGGCCCAAAGTGGTGGTCCTGGACAAGTGTAGAAGGACTGCAATTAGGATGAAGCCAGGCGCCCTTTCAAAGGTGGCTGGAGAGAGAGCTAACTGCCTGCATTATTTAAGAAAAACGTTAACAGTGCTCAAAGCATCAGAGGTTACACATCAGTACGAAGAATGAGAAAGTTTATTATCTGAAGCCATGGTAGGAAGCACTCACAAATGTTGCCTGCTGTAAAGTTAAGTCTGGCCCTTAGCCTGGGTGTTTATATGTATGCAACTGTATATCGAGATCCATTTCTGCAGGAGATCAAGACGTTTAAAGACTGCTATAATAATAGAATTCCTGTGTTGATTTTGGGGACTGAAATTGAGCCAGAAGGAAATGTCTGGTGAAGAGCAGAGGTTAGCTTTCAGGGAGCTAGATGTCTTTGGGGCTTGGGTTAGTGAATAAATTACTTCGGAAATTACATAGACAGATGTTTCCTGCCTAATATGACCTAATATGAAATGCTGGCTGCCTCCCCTGAACCAACCCCCAAGATGTCACATAAACAAATTTGATACATCTAATAACATGGACCAAAATAAGTAAAAGGATCCTGGGAAGGCAGAGGGTGATCGGGTCCCAGGGTGTGGCGGAGGGAGGGGGAAGGGGGGATGAGCATGAAGGAGAGAGGATCTGGTGCCAGCAGTGGAAACAGATTACAGAAGGGGTTTCTGGTTGTATCCTGCTCATTCTCTCACATTGCTAGGGGCAGAAAATTGCCTGCCAGGCAGAAAAAGAGCCTTGCTGCCCCAGCACCAGCCAGAGGGATCAGAGTGACCTCAGGGAAGTGCTGGAGTCCCCCTGGGTGAGAGCAGATAGCAAACTGGGGCAGCGGAAGGCCTGCTTCCTGAGACACCATCTTTCCGGGGCCTCCAGGACCATCGTATAGAACCTGGGAGCAGCGAGCCCAGATTCTAACCCTGCTCCACCCCTTACTACTCTGTGGCTCTGGGACAGTTCCTTACCTTCTCTCTGTCTTTGTTTCTCATGTCTAAAATGGACATGATAATACTGCTTAACTCTTAGGGTGGTTCAAAAGATGCAATACATGTAAAAGTACTTAAAACTAGACTGATACATTCTAAGTGCTCAAGAAATGTTAGCTGTTATTTTGAAAACTGGAGGAAGTCGCCTCCAGGGGCAGTGTCACGTTTTTGGGAGTTGGGGAGTAGAGAGGGAATGGTGGAGCCTAGAGGTATGCTCTGATGGTTCTTCTGTAGTCAGCTGCTAATCAGCTAAATGGTTCCGCTTCTGGATGTTAGCTGGATGTCAGCTGGAAGAATGGGTAAACTGGGCCATATGTCCCCCATCTAGCTGGGGTTTCTTCATATGGTGTCTCAGGCTTCTAAAAGCAACACAAGATGGCAAGTCCCAATGTGCAGCACTTTTAAAGTCTGCTCCCTAAACTCAGCAGGAGACGCACAAGCAAGGAGTGGAGCTTCTGCCCTTTCTTCCAGATCCCACTATCAGCCAATGAGATTGATCCTCCCAGGGTAATATGGGTCACAGAGAAAAGGTGACAATACATCTACACTTTCAAAGAAAAGCAACAAGGGAAATCGTATAGCAAAGATGCAGAATTAATAAACCAGACAGAATCAGATTTAAAAGAAGCACAGGAAACAGCCTTATAGGATGAAGGAGGATTTTGGAACCATGAAGCAGGAACAAAGAAAAACTGACTGAAGATGCTAGGAATGAAAAATATAATTGTTAAAACAAGGAACTCAGTGGATCATTTGTATAAAACAATGGATATAGCCACAAAAACAAACAAATGAAATGAAAGATCAGATCAAGAACACTCCCTGAAGAATTTAAGAAAGATTAAAACAGTGGAAACAATAAAAGGAAAGGTTGGGGCCAGCCCCGTGGCTGAGTGGTTAAGTTCGCACGCTCCGCTTTGGGGACATAGGGTTTAGCCGGTTCAGATCCTGGGTGCAGACATGGCACTGTTCTTCAGGCCCATGCTGAGGTGATGTCCCACATAGCACAGGGCCTACAACTAGAATATACAACTACGTTCTGGAGGCCTTTAAAAAAAGAAGATTGGCAACAATCGTTAGCTCAGGTGCCAATCTTTAAAAAAAAAAAAAGTAAAGGTTAAGAGAGATGGAGGATAAAAACAGAAGTTAACATCCACATATTAGGAATTGCAGAAAGAGAGATCAAAAATAAGTGTAGGGGAGAAAATATTTGAAAAAAGCAATCAAGAATTTTCCAGAATAAAGGAGGACGTGGTAGATTTTGCAGTGATGGCCCTCAAGTTGTTTCATCTCCCTGTATCCAGGACCTTTGGTAGTCCCCTCCTCACTGATTCTAGGCTTGGCCAAGCAACTTGTTTTAGCCAGCAGGTCAGGAGAAAAATTGATGCAAGCAGAGACTTTAAAAGTGCTACACATTGGGACTTGCCATGTTGCGTTGCTTTTAGAAGCCTGAGACACCATATGAAGAAGGCCAAGCTAGCCAGATGGATGATGGGGGACATATGGCCCAGTTTACCCATTCTTCCAGCTGACATCCAGCTAACACCCAGAAGCAGAACCATTTAGCTGATTAGCAGCTGACTACAGAAGAACCACCATCAGAACCCAGCCCAAATTGCCACCCTATAGAATACAAGTTGGTAAAAGTTTATACTTTAAGCGACTACTTTTTGGTGTGTTTATTATATAGCAATAGAAAGCTAATATAGAGTATGTTAATAACTCCACCTGAGAAGGCTCATAGTGGATTAGACAGGACTTTAAACACACACACACACACACACACACACACACACACACCCTAGCAAAAGAACAAAAAAGACAAAGGGAAAGGTCTAAAATCTTTTGGAGAGAAAAAAGTAGATCATTTCCAAAGGAAAAATAATCAGATTGACATCAGAATTCTCAACGATCCTGGTTATAATGAAATTGATAATATTTTTAAAATATTTTAAAAAACGAGAACATTAAATCCAGGATTTTATATCTAAACAATCATTTAAATATGAGAGTAGAATAAAGATGTTCTCAGACATACCAGGCTCCAGAAGACTTAATATACAAAAACTGCTCGAGAAAATCATTGAAAGAGTTATTTCAACAAGAAGAGAAATTAAAGCCAAAGGCTATGGATGTAGGGTGAGAAAATAAAACACTAAATTTAAGTTTGGTCTGAATAAGCACTGAAGAAAGGAAGAAAGAATGGAAGGAAGAAAGGGAGGGAGGGAGGAGTGGGCATATCCTTAATAATCCAGAAGTAAAATTTTGGGTAATAGTAATAGTCAAAGATTGAATGACACCACGGCTAAGCAACAGGATTCTAGAGCCAGCGGCTCTGCGTCTCAAACCCTCCTTGCCCTCCAAGCTGTGTGATCTTAGATGAGTTACTTACCCTCTCTGGGTCTCAGGTGCCTCACTTGTGAAATAGCACTGATAAAACAGAACCTATATCATAGAATTATTTTGAGAATTAAAAGATCCTGGTTTTAAAACCCTTGGATTCATACCTAGTTCATAGTAAGCTTTGAACAAATGTTTGATGTTGTTTTTAATATGGGGAGGGGGCTAGAGGGAGATGGGAAATAGACAATTAAAAAAAAGGAGCCAAAGGAACCACAGTAATTTAGATAGAAATAAGCACTTTGAAGAAAATGACTTGAATGACATGCGGATCACGATGGAAAGGACCAGGGACAGAGCCCCACTCCCTTCGAGCATTCCGGGGACGGGGCTGGGCTCCAGTAAGGAATGGCTCATGCTTTCCAGGGAGGTACAGCCCTAGAAGAAAGACTCAAAGGTGCAAAGATCCCTGAGCCTGTGTGTGTTACAGTCTCAGCAGAGCCTCTCATCTTCAAGGAGCTGTAAGAGTGAGCAGGGACCCAGGGACCAATTGCCAGAGGGGCCTTCCTGAAAAGCCTGCTCCGCAAAAGAACTTCAGGACCTCCACCCATCCCTGCGGGGAGGGCAGGAGGCGAGAGAACCCCAGCAACGACTAAAATTGAATTGCCCACCAGGTCAGAGGGATGGGGACCTCAAAGTCAGCTTTCTTAAAGAAAATGTGACATTTCTTGCATGTTCTAGTTTGTGAGAAAGATTCAGACATCTACCACAAAAGCAATTCTTTAACTCCTTATTTCTTCTGCATTCCTTCCTCTTCCTTCTACCCAACCCTACAATAGCTATCTTTGAAGCCATCTCTGGAAACGAAAGCAGACTATTTGACTGGATTCGGGAAATGGTGTTAATTACTAAAACACCTGTGACCACAGCTGAACCTCTTAATCACATCCGCATCCACGTGGACCCCTGCTCAGCTAATATCATGAGGCTCAAGCCGGTGTCTCTTTAGAGTGAAGAGATCTTTCTGAAGCCTAACTTGGAAGTCATATAAGAGGATGTTTTAGGTCTCAATTCGATAGGAAAAGTGACAATCAGAATTCAAGATGCTCTTATGGAGCTTCTTGAAGAGGTGACCATGACCACCACCTCCACTATCGCCATTCTCCTGGCCCTACTTCTGATTCAAAAACCAGTTCTGATTTTTCAGCAACGCCCGTTGCACCAAATGCTTCCCGTCTGTGTTCTTAATTTAACAAATAATTTCAGATCTCTGATCACTCTGACTCTGACGGTGGTTTTTTTGGAGCCTAGCTCCATCTGAATGGCCACATTGCTGGGAGATGCTGACTCACTCTGTTCTTCCATCGGACTTTCAAAATGTATTATCATGGGGAAATGTTATCCAACTGGCCCATTTCATAAGGATATTGTAGCTCTAAAAATCTATGACTGCATATCTTATTGTGTGACCTTGGACAAATTACTTAACCTCTGCAAACCTGTTTCTTTATCTGTAAAGTGGAGGAAGTAACAGGATTGATCTTGTAAAGTCATAATGAGGATTAAATGAGATAAATGAGTCACCAGCAAGGTGACTGGTTTTGGTAGCTTACAGTAAGTACTTAACAAACTTTCGTTACACATGGCATTGGTGAAAAGGGAGAGGTTAGTATCGGACAGGGTCCACTCGGGAAAACAGAAGTCATGCTATACGTTCCAGGAATTATAGGTCTTAATGGAGAGAATTAGGAGCTCTACAACCACTGGAATTGCTGGGGAATCCAAGGGTCAGGGAAGCTGTCCCTCAAATCTCAGCCTGAAGCATTCAAGTGGATGCTTTTCATGAGCTCACCAGAAATCACAGCAATTCTCAACAATTTCTGGGACATCTCCACCAATGACCTCAGTCTGAGTCACGGTGAAAGTACAGCACATCAAGAGCTTGCTGGGAAGCTGCTGAGAACCCAGGTCTGCCATATCTTGTTGCCACTGCCTGCTTCTCCCACTTGCCGTCTCAGGTGAGCGGCCCTCAGTGTAGACTCCAGACGGGAATCATAAAGGGAAGGGGACTCTGGGATATGTAGTTCCAATGCTTTGTCTGCACCCACACCAAAGCTTTAACCAGAGTTTCTCTCAAGTAGCAAGATGATCTGGTTAGATTTCCTCATCTTATTTCCACGCTGCATATAGATACTAATGAGCAGGGAAAGAGTCAAGAAAAGACCTAGATGGCTGAGTGAGTAATCCTGGAACAACTGAGGTTTTGCTGTAATCTGCATAGATTTTTTTCAGCAAGAACTCTTCCCATGACCTGGAGACGTATTTCTCCTTAAAATAATGCTTGCTTTTACTGGTACGGCATCTTTCAGTTTGTGAAGAACTTCCATGATCATTGTCTTTGTTTTTATCCTCACAACAACCCTACGAGGTAGATATTATTACTCCAGGGTCGCAAATGTAAAAGCCAAGACTCAGAGACTGTCTCAGCCAAGACCTCCTAAACTTGCTCTTCAGAACCTGCCCTACCACTGTCTTGCTTAGTGAAATAAATAAGAAAGCATCT